AGGTACTCAGTACCTCGGTCCAAATACCTCAAATTATAGCTGCTACTTCCTGTTTCTATATTTCACCTCTCACAGGGTCAACAATACGACCACGATCCAAGGCAGGAAAATATTTATGTGCAACTCCAGACTGATGAACTGAATCCAGAAAGCCTTCATCCTTATGGATGTCATTGCACAAGGGACATGCACACAAATAACTCAAATAAAATTAGGACTTTAGCCTTCTATAAGAGGAATACAAAAAAATTAAAAATAAAAAATCTAGCAAACTATTGAAGTTCTCCATTATATAGCCCAAAACTTTTTAGGAAATGTTAATTTGCATGCGTCACACAGAGTGAAGGTGAAGAAATAATGTATTTTTGTTAAACTCCATGAGGTTTCCTGTGCCTAAACACCCGCAAAGGATTGTGGGCAACTGTATAGCTCCTAGCCATGACTAGGAACGTCAGAAGGTCCTTATGATAAATGAATTGCTTCTAGGAAGCATCCTGCTTCATGTTCTGGATCCTTCTTTACTGCAAGCGTTCTTAGATAGCACTTATCCAAGTGTAGCGATGGCTGACGCACTTGCCCTGTGGCTTAAATGTCCTAACTGATTGGAAATATTCCAACTGACCTAGACACTCTGCTAGAACAATTAAGTTTTTTGCAACATTAGAACCCGTTTCCCTGTTTTTTACTAGAACAAATGCACACTTGTACACACCATTATCCTGCTCTTACTCCCTTTAAGCATTTTTTTAAACAGCATGATTGTTTTTTACTTTTTATTATGATATAAGCAATGAAAAAACAAAAACAGAGCTAGGTTCCTGGTTTGTGCGCAATTTTTTTTTCTGCAATTCTGCAATTCCATTATTTACTCACTTTTGATAATAAGCCTGATTTTTATTTCCCTTTTGTGCTGCTTTTAATGGAAATATACAAAATCAGATAAAGTTAGTTTGTTTCCTTCAATGTCCTTTCAAAAACCTGTATCTTATTGTGATAACTTACATGATTTTAGAATCAAGAACCTATAAAGACCAAAAATGTATGACCATTGTTATTATAATGGTTAAATGTGCATCCCTCTGTTCCTACGCTGATGATATTATCATGGAAACATAGTTAACCTGCTAAAATATATGTCCATCTATAATAACAACTAAACGCCAAAAAAAACAAAGAACCAAGGGAAAATGCCTTTAGTTCTTCCAAACTTTTTTTTGCCCCCACAAGAGTTACAAATGCTGAATTTGAGTATATAACAATCTTAATATTTTCATTGATAACCTTTTTTGCTATTTGAAATACAAAAACGAACAAATAAAAATCAAAACAAACACTAGGCTTCTTGTATAAATACCTATTGTGTTTTCATTTGCCATAATAACAGGACCTCCCTTACTATCCGTACACATTATTGTTTCCGGCCGTTTACGCTCAAGATTGATCAAATTAATTACTTTTAAGAGCACTGACATTCATCTCAGAAAATAAATCTCATACCCACAATTACACTTCAATATTTCCAGTTAACCGCCACTATACTGGACTTGATCAAATTAAAGGGGAAATAATGTTTCATTAAGCTAAAATCAGACCTTATCCCTGCATGTTAAAGGAAAAATTGTTTGTTAGGCTTTAATGCTTTACATGGGTGGTTCTAGACAGAGGCCAACGGGGGCCAATTACCCTGTAGATCATGTCCTGGCGCCTGTTATGGCCCCCGTACTGAAGAAATAATATGCAAAGAAATTCTAATGATGATCTGAGCCGGAACAGACATGCTTACTGATAGCTCCTTGGGCTCTATTTCATTTTTTTCTTTACAAATTCTGTTTTGCTAATTAAATAAAAACAATAAGGTTATAGCTTCATTGGTACTGAGACAGGATCCCAGTTTGCATCTTTTAATTTTTTTTTTTTTTTTAACAAATAGCTCTAATTTTTATGGTTGAAATTATCAGTTTTTCTTGAGTTCTAATTCAGATTTTATAGAAAAAGGTAATTTGAAGACATGATCTACCGTGAATGTGATACTGTACGACGGCTTCCTGTTATAAATAGAATTACTATTATTTT